TGTACTGGAGCCATTGAGGTTGTTCTCAAGGCATCCGCCCTCGTGGAAACAATGCTGTGTGCATAGGGTGCGTACAGGGCCGGCCAGCAACGGCGCCTTTGGGCTTTGCTAGCGCTGGCTCAGCTGCTTCCTCTGAACAGATGCAGAGATCCCTTGATGTCTCTTTTGCTTTACAGTGAAATGATACCATATCTCCTTTGGGGGAGAAAGACGGAAGCTTTCTTTCAGTCAAGTGCTCTGGAGAATGCTCTTTGGAAGAAAGGTGCTTTGGCCTGGTTCCCTCAGGGTGAGTGATCCTTGTAAGCGTGGGACTGGGAGCCCTGTAAGGGCCGAGGCTGGGTTCTTCGCATCTGTGCTGCACAGAGCCAGGCCTGATATCACTGTGGATTATTTTCTAGGCATAGGTGACAAGGAGTGGGCAGCCCCGTGGGGATAGCTCACCCACCCTGGTAGAGGAAGGCTGCATTGCTTCTGGGATGCATCTGGAACTTTGAGATTTACTTTCACTCTACCCTGGACCTTGGCAAAGAGGCCAGCTGGCTTGGGACCCTCCCTGCATGGCCACGCATCATCGGCTCTAATTGTTTATCCTGAGAGTCTGTGGGATTGGGACTGTCATGGAGCTTCCACACACCTCTGGGGAAGACTCCTTCATGACTTATAATTTTCTTGTTGTTGTCTGAGCGCTTGGAGCCCTCATGGGGGCTTGATCCCAGGGGTCGCCTCTAGGGGTTCATAGCTTGGAGCGAAAGGTGAGTTCTTTTAAAGTCAGTAGTAACTCCTGGTCCTTCCCTTTCCACTCCAGCCCACAGTGGACCTCTGCTCACTCCCTTTGGCTCAGAGAAGCTGTGGTCCTTGAGTTTGGGGTCCCATTCCAGTCATCCCCCACCACTGCTCCCAGGTTCTGAGTGTGTTTGGTTTTTCTATTCTACCCACAGAAGGAGAAGTAGCTACTCTACTAGGAGAAGTAGCTGGGGGCAGGTGAGTGGCACCTCTGGAGATCTTGGGGTACAGGCCATCTGCTTCTGGTGTACACCCATGTTGGAGACTGCTAGGGCAGAGCCAAAGAAATGAGGGGGCGGTGTGTGGGAAGTGTCCCCTGTGAGGCAGACCTAAAGCAGCGATCCCTGACTTCAGTATAACCCAGCCTTCTCTAGAGTCTTCCCAGTTTGTGATCTTGTATCTGTCTTTTAGATGCTCTTTCACAGAGCCACTGTGCTTTTCAATATCAAACCATTTCTTAAGTGAGGAAAGCAAAGCACACAGAACTCTGCTGATTTCCTTAAGCTCACAGAGTAAGGGTGCTGAGGTCCTTTCATCTGCTGCTGCCCCCCTTACATAAACCTTCAGTCCAATTAAAACCAACCTGCTGTTGTTCCTGGGCAGCTTCCCACCACCCCAAGTCCCACTGAAGTCCAAGCCCCTGGCTCTCCTTTCCCTGGGCAGCTGCAGTGACTGCAGGGCTTCCCAGAGGGCACTGGCAGTATCCGCAGTGAGTCTGTGCCCCACCGTATCGCTGAGCTGAGGGAAGAACAGGGCCACTGTTCCCAGCTGGGGAGTGGGAGCTGGAAGCCCACAGAGCCTGCCTCTCCGGCCCCTTTCTGCCGCCTCACGGGCGTGGCTGGCTGGGGTCTGCTGTGTGTGAGACGGGCGAGGCTGCCCAGGTCCTCCTCTGCTTCCTCTTGCATTTGATCCTAGCACGGGAGGCCAAGCCTGTGTAGTTTGGAGGCCCTGGAACCCCCGGAATGGATCCTTTGCATTCTGAGTTCCATGAGGTTTTAGGAAGGGCGCTGCCCTGGGAGGACATTTGGGGAGGATGGTGGGCCCTGGCACCTGGCCTCGTTTGTCCCTGCCAGCTGGTGGAAGCCAGGCCTGTGGCAGTCCTGCAAGCTGGGTGCTTTTGTTCCTCTTCCCAGCTTCCTGGCAACCAAGAAAATCTAAAGCCTGGGTGGACCAGAGTTTAAAAACAGCTTTCCAGGAGATTTGAAATTAAATTTAGAAGAAAAGGAAATTATATATGAAAATCAATTCCATTTGCCTCCTGCACAAGGCCAGCGACCGAGGCGCCGTCGTTGCCCAGCAGAGAGGAGGTGGCTATAGCACTGGCCCCAGATCGGGTGGCTCTTCTGTAAGTACTGGTAGGCAGGTGCGATTTCCCTCCTGCTTCCTGGAACACAGGGAGCTGGAGGGGAAAGGAAGCGGAGGACTCTGGGTAAGCATGTGGGTAGGGGTGTGCATCCATTTTTAAATTCATCAACATATTTATTGCTGCATGCCAGGGACTCTTTCTGGCATTGGCAACATAGGGATGAGTGAAAAGACAGAGGTACAATTTCCAAGGAACTCCCTTCCTTCTGTGTGCACGTGTGTGTGTGTGTGTGTGTCTGTGTGTGTGATTACAAATAAATATCTGACATAAAAATGAGGCTGTGGCCAAAACTCATGTCGAGAAGGGGCTCAGAGAGTTATGGAAATTGCATTTTTATTTTTTACAAAAATTATATTTGTTCACGCTCCCAGTGTGTAATGATCACGTTCATCCTGGGGTGTTGGCATAGTGGGGCGGGAGGAGAGAGGAAGCTACATAAACAGAATGGGACTGTGCTCTGTACAAGGAAGTCACGCACTCAGGTACTGAGCAGACCCGGCCTCTCCGAGTGTGGCCTTGTGTGGAGAATTGAAGGAAGCGGGAGAGGAAGCCACAGAAAGAGAAAAGGAAACAGCACCAATGCAGGAGTGAAATTCTGCGGAATGCTGTTCCTTCTGTCTTTAGGCCAGGGCTGCAGAAGACAGAGCCCTCTCCTGACCGCAGCGGAGACACTGTGGCTCTGCACGGTCAGGTAGCTCCTATCTGGGGGAGCCAGGGCCGGGTGCCGCTGCCGGGTTCCGAGGCAGTGCTGCTAACTGGGCCGTCTGTGTGCCACAGCCAGGCGGCTGTCAGATCCCTGCAGGGGATCGGGGAATGGGCATGCAGTGAGCGAGGGCAGCCAGGAGAGGGCTCTGCCCGCCGGTGCTGGCACCATCAGCCCCTTTCTGCTGCCCCCAGACTCTGCCTGCCCACCGCTGCCTGGTACCGGGACAGGTGGGGATGTTCTGAAACTGCTGCCTGGATCTCTCAGCTCCTTTCACCTTGGGGCCAGGTGGAGAGAACTGAAGCAGGGAGATGTCCACCTCCCTCCCCAAGCTGTCATGCAGCCACACAAGCAAATAGCTGCAGAGGCCCAGCCTTCATTGCCCTGCCCGAGCCCAAGATGCTTTGTTAGGGAGGCCTTAGGTGAGGGAGCCCCATCTTTTGAGGACACCATCTTGGGCCAAGTCCCCAGGCAGCCTTTCCTCTATTTAGTGGCTATCCTGCAGACCCTCTTCTCTCCCCTCTGTCACCTGTGCCCTGGATGGCGGTGCTTGATGAGGCAGTTCTCTGATGCTGCTAGTAGGCATGGAGGTGTGCAGGGGATGATTCCTGAGCAGCAGAGAAATGAACCCCACAGCCAGAACCCGGAGCCAGGGTTTCGAGGCATCATCTAGTAGAGTGGAACAGAGAGAGGGGGTGTGGTGTGAGGGGACAGCTCAGCTTTAGCGTCACATACCTCGGGGTTTGAACTCCACCTGCTGCATACAAGTTCTATTTTGTGCAAGTTACTTGCTGTCTCTGAGCCTCGGTTTTCCCAGTTGCATGAAAACCAGGACAGGCAACGCTTCTATCAAGGATGGGCCACCGGATCACAGTGCTGTGGAGCCGCTATCTGCTGGGCTTTCCTGGGCTGGAGACAGACTCATTCTCCCTCACACATGGCCTGGGAGGTGGGAGTAGGTGAAGAGTAGGATGGGAAGCTGGGCGTGGTGGCACACACCCATCTTCCCAACACTGGGAGCTCAGGAAGGAGGGTCACGAACTTAGCGACACCCTGTCCCCAAATGAAAAATAAAAAAGGACCGGGAATGTAGGTCAGTGTAAAGACTCTGAGTGTCGTGTCCTGTATTGCAACAAGCAAAACCAACCAAAATCAAAGAAACAAGAGTAGGATTTGATCCTCTGAGGAGAGACACGGCGCTTTCTGGAACTCTTGTTCAGAAAATGTTCCTCATTAAGTTGTGTCTGGTGATGTACCTGATTCCAGCTGAAGTTCACCTTCTTATGTTAGGCAGGTTTCTTTCAGTTCACTTCTGTTAGGTGGGGTGCTTGGGGCTTGAAGGCATCAGGGAGTCTCACCCTGAACGTGGCCATAACCACCATGTTGGCCCCGCACCCACTGATGCTGGGTCTCTGTGGTGAACATTTGTATGAGGATCTGCTGGGCACGAAAGTAAATTAATACATTCAAATGCTACAGATCTCAAAATTTTCCAAGAGTTAGGAAACGGGGTGGTTCTCTTTTTAATGAATGAAAGTGAAATAATGTACGGTCATAGGTGGCACGATTCATTGTGGGCATGGTGGGCACATGTATGATGGAAGCTACCCGAGATTGTATCATTTAGTGACAATAAAGTGCACTCTGATGTGCATGGCTGAATGTTAATAAATGAAGTAATGTGAAATGCATTCGGTTATTTTATTCCCTTGAACTTTTTGAGTGGTTTTCTCCATGTGTCAGTCCAGTCCGTTTGATGTGGTGCAGATCTAAAACGTCGCCGGATCTCATGGCGTGAGGGCCACAGGATCACAGGGGCGCTGTTCTCATCACTGGATTCATCCATCCGTGAGTTCAGAGCGGACGCGCCCTCGGGAGGTGGGGCCTGGCTGGAGATGGCAGCCGGTGAGCTGGAAGGGCGCGTTCTTGTCCCTGCTCCTCCTTCTCCCTCTGCTTCCTGGCCGCCATGAGGTGATCAGCTTTTCTCCGCCCTGCACTTCCACTGTGCCGTTCCTGCCTTGGAGCTGCCAACCATGGATTGAAACCGGGAGGCAAAATAAACCTCTCCTCATTGACGTTGTGGGTGTTGGGTATTTGCCCCAGCCAGCAACAGGAAATGTTTCAATCCAATCCGTTCGACAGCTTGAGTTTATCCCTGGAGTCTTAAAGGACGCAGTTGAGGGGCAGACAGTGGAGGAGAGGCTGGTGGAGACTCAAGCTCTTTCTTAGAATCATTTAGTTTAATTTTAGGTTCTCAGTATGGACTTTAAGGCAGGGTCTCTTTGGCCTTTGTTAATTAGACGCCAGGGTTGGGGAAACAATAATGACACATGCCCACTGCGTCCAGCCTTCACCTCCCTGGGTGTCACTAGCCCCAGGCCCCACCTCGCTGTGGAGAAGAGGCAACAGATGACTTGGGGACAGCTGAGCTGCTGGGTGGTGGCAGAAGCACTGTATGGATCCATCAAACAGGGGCCTCCAGTTTAACACAAGACAATCACGTCTGTTTTCCCCACAGTCCAGAGTGGGGCAGGGTTCAGCAACTCTCAGCCCAGGCTCCAAATCCAGCTTGCAAAGCTCATGAATTAGAAATGTTTTGTTTTTTGTTTTTTTACATTTTTAAAGCATTACACACACACACACACACGAAATCCCATGAAGAAGAAAATGTGGCAGAAACTGTGTTTCAGAGTTCACACTATCTGCAGCCTGGCTGTCTGCAGAAACAGTCTGCTCCAGGAAGACGTTAGCTGTCCCCCTCAGGGAGTCCAGGCTCTTCCCATCTTTTGGCTCTAGGATGGGGGAAGAGACAGTGGGGAGGGACACTGCTCTGAGACACATCACCGGTGGGTGCCGGCAGGTGAGGATGTGGTCCCCGGCCCGGAGGCTGCTCCTGGCAATGACTGTGTGGAGGAAGCCACGCATGCATCTTTGCTTTTCTCTCTGCCTGAAATACCCCACTTCTTTACTCTTTCTCATATTCTGAGTAACGAAGCAGATTCTTTCTGTGTAGCTAATCTGCCCAATACCAACCCCACAGTCTCTGGCATCCTCTCTTCAGGCCTGAGTGTCTTCAGCAATCCTGCACTGCACAGACCTTGCGTTGGGTGCCCAGGGCACCTGCTCTGCCTGGATGCTCCCCCCCGCCCCCGTGCTTCCTGGTGCAGAGCAGGCATTCTGTGCATGTTTTGGCCTGATTTGCATACAGATTTATAGGAACAAGGGAAGGAGGAGAAGGCTTCTGAATGAAGACAGGACTAGCAAACTTGAGCCACAGCTGGAAGGACAGGGAAGACTGAGAAAGAACACTAGCAGTTCATCTCTAAGACGGCCAAGTGAGTATCCTGCAGATCTGGGGCATGACATCAGATCCGTGTGAGTCTGAATCGCGTGCTCTTCATGACCATGAGAAACAATGAACACTGCAGAGAACTTCACTGTGAAACCCATCTCCAACAGAGAGAGTTAAGGCAGATTTCCACAGCACCTGTGTGCCCGGGCATCTCCACCAGGAAGGGGATCTGGGGCTGGGAAGTGCCATTCTGAGATGGCCACATTGGAAGCCAGATTGCAAAGGGGGGATGCTTGGGAATTGTATTCTGAGGTCTCACGGGGCCAACACAAGGATGAAGCATGTGGGGCTGTGGTGAAGTAGGCAGCCAGGAAGCTGGTATCAAGAGACTGCCACTTCAAGGCTGCTGCGGCATGGACTCGGCTGGTGAAGATGCACACAGGAATCTGAAGACCTTGACCTCGTTTGTTTCCGATTTTGTATCTCCACGCTTCCATTGCCAGGAAACCACGGAATGGTGAAGCCAGAGGAGCTTGCCTCATGATTTGTATTGGAAAGGGCAAGGGCTTTAGACCCTGGTGAACCTGGATGCAGATTCTGGTTCAGGAATTTGTGACTGCAGGCAAAACATTATTTCTTTTTCTCCAGAGGATCAGGAGCTTAATAATTTGCTCAGGGTTACAGAACTTGTATGTGATTGTTCTTAGTTATCTACTACCACGGAACAAATCACCCCTCACTTAGTGGCTTGGAGAAACCATGATCAAGGATTTGGCTTGCATATCTGCAGCCTCTGGAGGGCTCCTGGGGAGGGCTGGTGTCTGCACGGCTGTCTCAACTGGGGCTGGAGGTCTGCTTCCCAGGCTGTTCATTGGCCTGGGCTGACCATCAGGGCTGATGGCAGTGGCCTTAGTTCTATCTGAACCTCTCTACCAACTTCGAGGGCTTCTCACACAGTGGTGCTGGGTTCCAGGAAGCCCAAAGTGGAGACGGATGGCCCAGAAGGTCTGATCCTCTGAAAGGGGCACCACAGCATTCCTTCCTCCTCACAGTCAGGCAGTCACCAGGGGGCAGTGATGGTCACCACTGTGCAGTGGGAAGGGCATGGGGAATGTTGAGCTGAGCTGCAAAACGGCTGCAGCAATGTCGACACTATATTCTTTCATCTAACCTTAAAGTAAGATTCGAATTCATTCCTTTGCAGTGCTTTGTTACTCTCTGGTTTCAGAATGGGATTATTCAGTTTGCATTTGAGCTCAGTCTGCTGACTCTGTCTAATAGCTGTGCTCACTCTCCAGGTCGGCTGAGCTCTTAGTGAAGACCACCGTTGCTCCGTGCTACACCCCTCCAGCCTTCCTTCTCGGCCTTCTGCCTCCGCTCACTAACCCCAGGCCTGTTGCTTGGGAAGGGCAAAGAAGCATAGAATTGCTGCCCTGCTTAGGGTCCCTGAAGGCTCTGGTGCCCTCAGACTGAAGCTGAGCTTCCCTTTCCCTCACCGTGGTCACCATCCTTCCTAGTGTCCCCCTCCCCGGCTCTTCAGTTCAACAACAGTCACTTCCCCTTCATGCTTAGTCCCAGGAGCAGGTTTTCCCCTAATACTTATTGACCCAAGCATCATGCTAAGTGCTTTGCAGGTGCAGTTTCAAATTTCACACTTCTATTAGTTATGTTCTCTTCTATCTGAAGGTGTGATGGTCAACTGTGGTGTCAACTGGAATAAGAAATGCCTAGTGGGTTAGTTTAACACAGCTGTGGGTGTGTCTGGATGACTGACTCCCTGAAGATAGAAGGCCCACCTTGGGTGAGGGTGGCACCAACCAGTAGCCTTGTAGCCTGGATGGAATGAAAGAGGAAGAAGGAGGCTCACTTCTGCTGCTCCAGAGGGGCTGTGCTCTTTGCCATTGTCTGTGTCAGTTTTCAGGTTTCCAGGGCAAACTCTTCAGCCTTCCAGTGCAGATGCTTCCACTTCCTGATATGGGTGCACGGGGGCCTCTGCAGCGAGCTCCAGGCCTTCACCCTCTGACTGGATCCCCCAGCTGTCCAGTACGTGGACAGCCCTCTTACATTCCTCTGGCCGACTCTGCAGGCAGCCAGTGGGAGGCTACCTCCTGAGCCTGCACATATCCTATATGTGTGCACTGTTCCTCTAGTGAAGCCTGACTAATATGCCAGGTGTGTGCTTAGCTTCTGTGATAAACTATCTTCTGGAAGTTTCCCAAGTCCAATGTCTTCCACGATGCCTGGGATTTTATACTGGCCACGTCCTCTCTACTTTTCATCTCACTAACTCATACTTCCTTTTCAGCTTCAAGTCTAGACCAGCCTTCCCCCAGGAAGATTTCTCAAGACTGGTTGAGCTTCCCCTCCTGGGCCGTCTTCTCATCTGGCTCTTGTCATCTCGCACTGAAATGGTCTTTTCTCTTGTGCCCATCAAAGACTTGAAATGCTCTGTGGGAGGGGCGCTGTCTTGACTTAGCTTCCCTCTTTTGCAGGGGAAGGTGTTTTAGCTCCACCTCCTCTCAGGTCCTCTCTTACCTTCCATTATCTACAGAGTGAAGAATCTACTGATGAGTTCCTGGCCTCACCCATGCCACCACAGACAGCAAACTGAACCCAGGTGACAGAGTTTGTCCTGGTGGGCTTTGCCGGGGTGCCAGGAATGCACCTCCTTTTCTTCACACTCTTCCTCACCATGTACCTGTTCATCTTGGCAGAGAACCTGGCCATCATCTTAGTGGTGGGCTTGGACCACCGGCTAAGGAGACCCATGTGTTTCTTCCTCGCACACCTGCCCTGCCTGGAAACCTGGTACACCTCAGTCACGGTGCCCAAGATGCTGGCTGGTTTCATCCGGGCACATGGAGCCGAGAACATCTCCTATGCTGGCTGCCTGTCCCAGCTCTTCATCTTCACTTTCTTTGGGGCAACCGAGTGCTTCCTCCTGGCTGTCATGGCCTATGACCGCTATGTGGCCATTTGTGTGCCTCTCCGCTATGGGTCCTTGGTATCCTGGGGCACCTGCTTCCACCTGGCTGCAGCTTGTTGGCTAGTAGGCTTCCTCACACCCATCTTACCCATCTACTTCATGTCTCAGCTGACATTTTGTGGCCCCAATGTCGTTGACCACTTCTTCTGCGATGCTTCACCCCTGCTGGCCCTGTCCTGCTCAGATGTCACCCTGAAGGAGATTGTGGACTTCCTGGTATCTCTGGCTGTGCTCCTGGTCTCCTCCACAGTCATCGCTGTGTCCTACGGCAACATTGTCTGGACACTGCTCCACATCCGGTCAGCGGCCGAGCGCCGGAAGGCCTTCTCCACCTGCATCGCCCACCTGGTTGTCGTAAGCCTCTTCTATGGCACACTCTTCTTTATGTATGTCCGGACCAAGGTGGCCTCATCCACCAATTTCAACAAGGTGGTGTCTGTCTTCTACTCTGTTGTCATGCCAATGCTCAACCCTCTCATCTACAGTCTTCGGAACAAGGAGGTGAAGGGGCCCTGTGCCGTGCCTTTTCCCTCAGGGTTTGGAGGGGGTAATGAGGAGGCAGATGGGGTGACTCAGTTTCCTCACCTTGGATATTTACAGGGACAGTGATGAGGATTAGAAAAGAGCCATACATGTATAGTTATGAGTTACAGACTATAATAGATAAAGGAAAATGCTGAGCTGCTACGAAAGGAGAAATTTAACTACAGGGGGCTTAAAGAATGAAGCAGAGTTTCTCTTTCACACTAGAGTCCAATGTGAGTGATCCAGGTTGATGCATAGCTCAGCTCCACCAGTATCTCACGACCCACGTTCCTTCAGTCTTTTGGGGCCAGCATCCCCTAGGTGTTGGCAAAGCCAAGTCTGAGGGCTGAATCTGGCTTAGCACTGGCTTTTTAATGGTCTGTGAGCTATGAGTGGTTTCACACTTTTAAATGATTGAAAAGAACTCCAAAGGAGAATAATATTTTATGACAGGAAAGTTTTATAAAATTCAAATTTCCATGTCCATAAATCAGGTTTTATCAGAATATAGTCACACCCACGTATCTCACCCTGATGACATATGAGGCTGCCTTTGTGCTACAGTGGCAGAGGTGACTATTTGCCAACCCCTGACCAAGAGCCTTCCTGTTACTTACATGGTTAAACTGGGCAGGAGAGCAAGGATAGAGCACGAAACAGAAACACCTGTGTCTCAGGGATCTCCGGGCACAGTGCTGACCACTTCTGCTCACCTCAGTGTGAGAAGTGAGCTAGAGGTCATCCCTCTTTGCCAGGGGGGCAAAATATTCTACAGTTGGGCAGCCAGACACTCAGCTGCCATCGAGCTATGGGAGAAAAAGAGGAGAGCAAACTGGGTAGACAACCAGCAGTTTCTACCACAAACAGAACCTCCAGCATCAGAGCTGGGTTTTCATGAGATGGATGCACTTAGTCTTTCCTGGGTCCACATTCTCTTATTTGGAACAGAATGATCTTCCTTCTCTATCAGATGATGTTTGGAAACTGGCCTAAGGAGATCTCTAGGGCAATGTCAACTCTCTCAAAGTAGGTTTAAAAAGACAATTATAATTCAAATAATCCCCTACATGTAGATAGCTGCGTTTCTAAAGACATTTGCAGTCCCCATTTGCATATGGATTCCAAAATCACAGTAAGTAAAAGAGGAAACTGCTGAGCTGGGGTCTGGGTGGAGGGGAGAGATCTTCTCAGCTGCACAATAATGGGCACATCACATTACAGTGCCATCAGTGTGGCTTTGCCCCATTACATCTGAGCTGTAGCTATTTCTGTAGTTAGCAGGGAGGACACAAATAATGCATTTTAAACCTTTCAGGATTCAACAGAACAGTTCCTCTGAAGGAAAGAGGACTATATACTTTCAAATACCTGGCCCAGGTAGAGATGGACACAAAGTGAATTAGACTCAGGTTTCTAGCTGGTGAAAACAATGCAGAATATGTTTGGTATAATTGGCAACATTTATAGTAGCAGAAAGAATTAAACTTTTTTTTTGTACAGGGGATTGAACTTGGTACCTTGTGCTTGCGAGGCAGGCGGTGGAACCACTGAGCTCAATCCTCGACCCCAGAAAGAATTAAACTTTAAACACAGGACTGTATCTGGATTTTGAGGATAACTCTAAGAATGACTTTATGGGAAGTATCAGTAAGGATTACTATTTGTTAATCCAAGTTACATAAAATGATAAAAACTCTGAAGCATCTCTTAGAAAGGATCTGATACTTGTAAAAGTGTATTTTACTTTAATGAAACCTGATACAGTGAACTAGTCTGGAAAAACCCCATTTTTGTGAGTGTGAGTGTTTACATTGTAAAACTGAACTGATTGCTTTTTTAAAAAACACACCTACCTACCAGAGCCTGGGTTGCATGATTGTATAGGTGCAGACAGCTCATGTTTTTAAAGCCATTTCCAATGGCAAATCAATCTGCAATAAAGATATATTATGAAATCATGTCAGAGAAAATGCATATTTTTGTGAACAGGCCATGTCTGAAGATGCAAATGCTCTTTGGGATATATCTGTTCAGTGTGAGGCACCAGCTCTGAGAGCTGACTAACATAGACACGACTTCATTAGTACACGGAGAACTCACAGGAGTGCTTCCGGGTAGACAACACTTACAAATACCAGGTCCAGTGAAGAGTGCTGCCTCTGTGGGTTTTGCCCCTCTGGGTGCTGGGACACTGACTAATTGTTGGGTAGGAACTACCTGGTAGCCATCCTGAGAAGGTCTTTGACTTGGGATTTGGTGAGAATGACTTGGTCTTCATCCTGAAATTAGGATGCTGCAGTGTTCAGCACAGCATTATGTGAACAGAGCAGAGGTTTAGCTATAGGTGCACGCTCCACGGAATCCGTCCAGGCCATCCTATATGTGTCCATGCTGTTCTTATCCCTGGCACCCATGCTGGGATTTCCATTTAGTTTCTCCAGTCTGCTGAGTCTCTTCTTTTCCCTCTGCACATCCCAGGGCCTCAGTACCTGGCTTCTAAGGCAGGTTTGTTAGAACAGCTCTCTGATCTTCACACCAGTCTCATTTATTGATATCCTTGGCCTTGGGTGGTTTCATTTTCAGTGCTTCAAGTAACATCCTTGGGAGCTGTGGCCCCCGGCAAGACCTTAAAATGTGGCCCTTCACACAGAGCTGTGGACACCTCGATCCTTGGAGACATTGAGTGCACCCCGTTAAGCACCATCTCTCCCCAGGAGCAGCACAAGAGCACTGTCATAATTCAGGGATCCTCATGTTTCCCGGGTTTCATTAGCACCCTTAGCTCTCAGGGAGGTGGAGGGGCTTCATCTGTACTTTGCTTTGGGGGTTAGCACGCTGGGTCTGTGGTAGCCACCTGTTCTCAGTTACTCAGCCATTCAGCTGCCCAGAGTAGGTGTGAGTTGTTAAGAAAAAAGTGTCATGATAGGTATGTTTGGTCTACTCAAGTCAGGTTAGGCTGGAAATGTTGGATCAAGGGTTCCTGGTAAGATGGAGGTTTTAGCTTTTCAGAAGGACTGGGCCAGGGTCTCTTAGAAATTTCAATTTCTCCTCAATGAATCAAGGGATCTAAGTTTGTCATTATGTATGATTTTATTGAATTATCAAACAGATTCTTGTTCAGTGCTTATTATGTGTCACTACTGATCCAAATGTTAAATAAATGTTACTTCATTTTCTCCTCCTTGATAATCCCACCAAGTCATTGCTGGTATCAGTCTCCTTTACAGACACAGGAAGTGAGTTACAGAGAAGCTGCATAAATCGTCCAGATCACACGGCCAATCGAGTGCTATAGCTGGGGCTGGAGTCTCATTCCTCTGCTGCTTAGCCTCTGTTTGGGACGCCCTGGGCACATCGATCCCCTCTCCTGTCACTTATTCCTGTATCTGCAAAAGGGTAGAGCAGACTGGAGGTTGTTACATATCTGCTTTCTAAGTGTCTGACTTGTGCTGAGGAGTTTCACACATTTTCTCATTTCACCCTCACAACAACCCTGGAAGAAAGGCTCAGCCTCGTCTTTTATGGGAGAAAAGTCGGGGCTCAGAGAGGTAAAGTAACATGCTCAGGTTCTGAGAGATGGAAATGAGAGCCAGGAGGACGTGTGCATTTGCCTCGGGCTCTCGTGTGGGCAAGGATGAGGGACACCCAGGTGCAGGGGCAGACCGCACACTGATGGTGATGTGTTTTGCTTCACTGAAGGTGTCGTGAAGGCCACCAGCAAGCTGACCAGGCCTAGCAAACCCAAGAAGCCCACCATGGCATAGAACAGCTCCAAGGAGCCCCATCACACTGGACCGTGATGCTGGCCTGGGCTCTGTGGGGTTCATAAGCTGTGGGGGCCATCAGGCCACCCAGAGTGAGCACAAGGCCACCCGGGCCAGGGAACAGACACCGGTGATGGTGCCAGGGAGCCGGCCCCGGCCACCTCTGGATGCGAGTGTCTGGCCGTGTGGAGTGGAAGGCCACCACCACTACCACAGTCTTGGCCAGCAGGGTGCACACGCAGACTGTGGAGGTGAAGGCTGCCTGGTGCACAGTGCACGTGAGGGCACCCGGGGGGCCAATGAACAGGAAGGGGCAGAGGTCAAGTGCCAGGGGGGCCAGCACGAGGCAGCTGAGCCAGCGGTTGTTGGCATGACGATGGAGGCGTGGTAGTGCCGGGGGAAGACGCCTAAGGTGGCCAGGGCAGAGGGAGAGCAGGGCCGTGCAGACAGCCAGCTCTGTGCCCAGGGGCTCTTGCTAGGACAGGGAGTCAAGGGCTGGGGGATGCACTGGCTCTTCTGACATGCGGCACTGTCTGAAGGAGAAAGAGAAACCGGGTCAGACAGCAGAGCTGGGAAGCCCCTGGACGCTGTCCCACCGTGGAGCAGTTGTCCCATGCGTGGTGGCCTCTCTAGGAGGCTCGGTGTGTTTCGGCCTCACAGCCATGGGCCTTCTGGACTGCCTGATGTCCCTAGATTCGGGGATCAAGCACAGATGGCCGGAATCCTGGCTGCAGCTGCTTGTCTTGCTTCAGACTATGATGAAATAACATCGAGCAATCTACACATACTTTGACTCATATCCGGACTTTTTTCCTTGAAATGAACAACTACTGGGGCAGTATCATATTTATTTCCACAACTAATTAGACTGTGATTTGTACTTTGATAATTTAATTTGAGCCATGTGTATGGCTTCCTTTCTAAGTACCCAGACTCTTTAGAAATGAAACCACTCACACCTAAACAATTCCAATGTCAGATGTTATCAGATGCTTGCATTTCATAGTTATTTTCAGGATGGATTTTGTAGGTGGAGCCCTGAACCTGCCATATATTCCCATTTGACACCTTTCCTTCTTTTGGTTATATCTTTCTATTCCTAAATCTTTTGATTGTGTGTCCTCCTAGTCTCCACATCTACGGATTTCTTTTTTTTCTTTTTTTTGGTACTGGGGATCAAACTTGGGTCCTTGCACTTGCTCAGCAGGCGGTGAAACCACTGAGCTAAATCCCCCGCCCATCTACGGATTTCTTATTTATCATGTCCTTCATTCTCTCCTTGGGATCTGGTTGCTTCTTCACAGCTTTCTTCATTGGCGTCATTTCCTTTCGAAGGGTGAAGAATGTTCCCAAATCTCCCCCTTCTCTGGGAGGATTTTCAGTGTGAGAAAGGACTCTCCAAAGTTGTGGCTTCAGCAATGATTCTGATCCTCCTTCATTCACAATCCTTTTTCGTCTACCACTTGTCTGTTCATCTCTCCCAAGCCATATTGAAACACACGCTGCTTCTCTGTTGAATTAAGTCAGTGACTCCCCACTTCTCGTGAAATAGAGTCCCTGCCCCAAGAGTGGAATGAAGAGGCCTCTATGATCTGCCCGCCTGCCTCCTGCACACCTCCCACCAGTCTGCACTCAAGCTACACTCAGACCCTATTGGCTTCTTCCTCATGTGTGTTCCGACTTGGTCCTTGGCCTTAGGATCTATATAGTGATTCACTGCCTCAGAAACTCTATTCATAGTTTTTAGATCCTTATCATCTCTAGTGAAGAAGTCTCTCTCCATACCCTTCCCTAGAATTAAAGGTCCCACCCTATTCTCATGGCTCAATTCTTGAACTTTTATTAAAGCATATTGAGTCCAAAGACTGTGCCTTTATTTACTTATTTTTGTTTTGTCACCCTGGTGTCTAACACAGAGGTTGTATACAGTGGGTGCCACTTGATGTAGTTTGCTTTTTTTTGTATATCCTTTTGTTGGTACATTTTTGGTATACAATGTAATACCATTCGTCATTGGAGATATGCACCTTTACATAATCTCTCTTGGTTATTTTTCCCCCTTCCCCTGCCCTCCCTTCAACCCCTCCATGCCTCCCTATTTAACAAAGACTTTGTTTCCAGTTTTCCATTTTCTCATATTAATTCCATTCCCTTCTTTCCTTCCCCCTACCCCTCCCACTTCCCCTTCCCCTTTGCCCCTTTTCTTCCTATTCACATTATCTATTATATCTTTTAGTCCTTAATTACACTTTCAGTTTCTCACAGTAGAGAAACTATTTGGTATATACACGTGTCCTATTTATTTCATGTAAGAGTGTGGCCTCAATGTGCATCCATTTAGCTATCAGTGTCTCTAATTTCTCAGTTATGTCTGAGTAGTACTCCATTTTATAAAAAAACCACATTTTCTTGATCCAGTCTCCAGTTGATGGGCACTTGGGCTGTTTCCAAGCTTCAGCTATTACAAACTGTGCCACTATAAACATGAGAGCACATATATCACTGTGGTATGATTCTTTTAATTCTTTGGGGAAGATCCCCAGCAGGGGAAGAGCTGGGTCAAATGGGACTTCCAGCCCTAGTTCTTTGAGGTATCTCCACACTGATTTCCACAGTGGTTCCACCAATCCACTTGATGTATTTTGTATGAATGATATCTTAGTAAAAACAGATTAAGACATTAGTTGGATTACATTTTTGGAAAGCCTACCATGTGCCAGATGTCAAGCTAGGTAGAGGATTTGGACTAACCTAACACTAATGAAAGAAAGAATGAATGTAACAGCCTTTAGTGTAGCATCAGGGAAGGGTACATTAATATCATCTTTTTAGACTCCTCTTCTTTGGACTGTTTACCAGTAAGGGACCCTTCCCTGGATGTGAGTGTGATCTTTCATAGAAAGCCAACCTTGGCTGCTGGCCGGCCACCCTCTGGCCAAGGACCAGCCTCCCCCTTACCTGGTCCCAAGGCAATTTCTTCTCTGGGGTGGGGCAGGCAGTCATAGCAGCATTTTGGCTTCCATTTAGGGCTGACTTCCTCGTTCCCACAGGACATTTTTCAGTGCAGATTGAGGAAGGGACCTGCGCAGGAGAGGAGAGACAGGGCTGGGAGGCTGCGGGGAAGCTGAGCAGCATCCGTGGTCAGGCTTTGGAGGAAATAGGTTTATCACTCTCCTGACAGTTTTATCATTCACAGGAGTCCTTACTTTTTTTCTTCTTTTCTCCCAATTCTTTGTTTTAAAGTAAACTCTTCTTTACCTTCCCTCCCTCCTTCTCCCTTTCTCACCCCTCCCTTCCCCCTTTCGTTTTTTCTTCCATTTTTGTTTGTTCTCTTTCCTTTTCCTCCTCCTTCTGTGTCTTACTCAAATAATTAACAATGCATCTCACATTTGCTAGATCGTGTTAAGGAAACAGAAATAGGTCAGAATGAGCTCTTGATGATTTCCTAGCCTATTGGGGGAAATCGAGAAATCTCGAGCTGGAGATGTTAGATTTGGTTTAGAATTCTAGGTCTGCCTTTATGGGCCGGGTGACCTTGGATTTTGCTGCTTTCAGCTTCAGTTTTCTCTTCAATACGATGGGGGCAGGAGTCGCATCTGTTTTGAAGGTGGTGAGAGGCTTCAGATGACACAGGTGAGGCCACACCCCAGTGGCCAGAACCCCTCAAGGCCACAACCCATGGATGTGAGGTGGGATAATACTACCTGGGGAGTCTGACCTTCACTCTGGGCTCCGTGAATCCATTTATAGTTTTTTCAAGATGCTCATTTCCCAAGCACAAGCAGAATTGAGCCAACCACAGTGAATCAGAACCAGAGTGCACACATTAGCTGAGCCCAGCACCACAGCGAGATTTCGGGGCTTCAGCACCACTGACACTGAACTGGAGCATCCCTGACGACAGAGGCTGATTGGCGCATGGTAGGTGTTTAGCAGCACCCCCGGGGTCTATTCCCCGGAGACTGATACCACTCCCCCAAGTCGTGACAACCAGACTGTCATTGTCCCTCTAGAGGCAAAGCCACCCTCAGCTGAGAACAGTTGAGATTTGCATCCTGGTTGCAGAGTGAATTTTCTTGCAGAAGGATCCAGAAAGGGTTCTGTGGTGTGGGGAATGAGAAGTGGCTGAGGAGAGACATGCCCAGGCTACAGGGCACCCGATGCCGTCCTGAGTGAGGACCTCAGTTCCCCAGGGCCGCTCCTCGTCGGTAGAGGAAGGGTGCTGAGGACTGCTCAGAATGCTGCTG